TTTTGCATACTTTTAAAAAGAGACTTAAAGTGGAAGTTTAAAACCACCTCCTCAGCGATCAGGAGCTGTTACATAACTTATATTCGAACCCGTAACACAGCTTATTTTTAGTTTTGCCAGTGTTCATCTAATTCTGACTTACCATCTCATTCTCGTACTGTAAATTTTTTATAACGTCGTCACTATTCGAGATATGACGTCATTACCAATTTTCATGTTGCACAACAATATTTTCGATAAAAATTTCTTATTGATAATGACATAATAAAATGATATAAATATATCAAGAAATGCACATCTAAAATCAAAATCAATCTGTCCAAGACATTTTTCACGTTCTTTTTATCACTATTTGAGATATAATCGTCACTACTTTTTTTTATAGTACCAAAAGATTAATTTTATTGCATGGGGATGAATATTTACGAGAAAAAACAATTTAATTATTCTTACGAATGCTAAATAAAGGTTTGTAAGATTTTTTTCGAAAATATACTACAATATTTAACGCCCATGCTCGAAAAAATGTATAATTTTAATTCGTACTATCAAATAATATTGTTGCCATTTGAAAAAATTAGTAGAGACGTCATAAAAAATATATGTATATCGAAAATTATGTATTTAAAAAACAAAATCGACCTGTTCGGGCTTTTTTGGTCACTTGTCCAATGAAGCACGATGTCTGGTGTTTCACCAATTATGGCGGATGAACTTTCGCGAACATTCCTGAGTCAACGAGATAATAATTTTAAATTGGTATATAAATATTGGTGGAGAATAACGCTGTATCAGTTATTTTATGGACAGTGAAGATAAATCGTAAACAGTTTAAAGACATTCGAAATATATAAATTAGAATAATAGTGTTATAAAATAAATTTTTAAATAAATTATTGATAAATAAACTGTTGTTTAAAATAAACAAACATCACAATATGATAGGTATTCCTATGCTTTATGGTAAAATCAAATTGTAAAATCAAATTGTTCGTGTAGTTAAAGGTTAAAACTGCGTTAATTTTTTCACTTTACTTAAATTTGATTTAGTTTTCTCTCTAAACATAAAATAAATGAAAATTGTCAAAATTTTCGAAATTGTTCCATTTTTATTTTAAACTTAATGAAATTTTGATAAAGTGACTTCAAAGGAACACCGCACGTATCTTTTTTTTACTTAAAGTGGGTTACTTACACGCATACTGTCCCAGGCGTTTAGAAAGCTCAAGCCTTCGGTGAACACTTTCAGGCTAACTTTACTAACAATCAAATAAATAACGCTCGACATGATAGAATCGAAAGAATTGTAAATGATCTTAGGGAAACGGGTCCAGTTCACGTACCCCACTCTTTTTTCACCTCTCCTAAAGAGGTAGGGGAAACAATTAAATTCCTCAAAAATAGAAAAGCTCCAGGACCTGATGACATCAGCAATATCCTAATTAAAAATATTCCAAAAAAGGGAGTAGTACAACTTAACTATATATTAAATGCAATTTTCAGGCTGCAACAATACCCAAGCTGCCTGAAAATTGCAAATATAATACTAATATTAAAAGCAGGCAAAAGCCCAAACAAAATCGACAGTTATCGGCCTATCTCGCTGCTAAATACATTATCAAAAGTAGTAAATAAAATAATTTTAACCAGACTCAAGACTACAGAAGACCAACTACAATTTATCCCTCAGGAACAGTACGGATTTAGAAGCGGACACAGCACCGTTATACAGATTATACGTATAGTTCACCATGCCAAAGAGGCCACAAATTTCAACAAGCAAACGGTGCTAGTGGCGCTAGATGGCGAAAAAGCTTTTGTTTCCGTCTGAACCTATGGGTTAATTCATAAAATGCTTATGAATGACTTTCCGGTTCACATTGTAAAAATAATTCAATCCTACATAACTGACAGACGATTCAACGTGAAAATAAACAACACTACCACAGGACCTTTTACTGCGCAGGTGGGAGTAACTCAGTACTGTCGCCCCACTTGTACTCCATTATGACCCATGACATACCAATGGGTAATAATGGGGTACAAACGGCACTGTACGCCGACGACATATGTCTCTTCAAAAGCAATCATTCGGCCGAAAGTGCAGTTAGGACTCTGGACATCCATATCAACAGAAGGTTAATCCCCTATCTAAAGAAGAAAAAAATGAATATAAACGCAAACAAAACAGAAAGTATGTTGATAACAAAAAGGAGATCTACCCCTAAAAATAGCCAACGATGAGATAGAAACGGGCAACAGGATGAAATATCTCGGTTTTGTATTGGATGGAGGATTAACCTTTGATCAACATATAAAAGATAGAGTAGCCAAAAATCATGCGGCCTTCAAAACTCTCTACCCTATCCTGAATAGGAAAAGTACAGTTACGATGGCAAATAAACTACTGATGTATAAGACTATATTAAGACCAATCCTGACATATGGATGTCCGGGCTTTTGCTCTATGGCCAACACTTACTTTAACAAACTACAGGTAGCTCAAAACAGATGTCTTCGGCTAGCTCTGGGATATGATCGCTATGTCAGAATACTCGACATGCACAGACAGACAGATATACCCATGATTAAAGACTATATCCTTAATAGCCGAAAATTTCTATAAGCGATGCCTTCCCGATAATGTTGTGTATGATATTCTTAGCATATATCGGGGGGACAACGTGCGTAGGAAACACGGCTGTATCCACACTAAACTTGACATATACAGAAATAATATCCTCCTTAACGGTCCCAAACAATACTGAACAACATTTCACACCGACTAGATATTTACGCAATTTAGTCGGATGGAGGACTGATCGGTGGATCGGCCAACGGTGAAGCGGATGCGAAACACAATTTTGCGACTGTTGCACGGTTGGAAGATACATCAATCACTCAGCCTGTGAAATGTACAAATAAACAAAGACTATACTAACTCACACACAAGGACAACCCTGTTTTTTCTACCCTTTTCAGGGGACAAAAGACATAACTAAAACGCGACGTATCCTATCACCATTTCCCATTACCGATTTCCAAACAAAACCACAACCCCTTAATAATACCGAACAGGTAAGGAGTGAGGGCTGATATATTTGACAAACAATTTAGTCGAACGAATTATTGTGGGCGGATTTATCCACCTTGGTCCTTGACTCGGTAGTGTGAATTATAATAATTTGATTTTGACATGTAGATATTTTTTTTATTAATTATTGTAAATAAAATTTCTTCTAGTTTAGTCTAGTGTCCCAGGCGTTTGCTATAGAAAATTAGGTATCTACTAGGCTTGCCACCTGTCCTTTTTTGAAAAGGACAGTCCTATTTTTGGAGCAAAATGTTCTTGTGACTTTTTAAAGCTTAAAATATCCTTTTTTACAGCAAATGTCTTTTTTACAACATATATCTTTGGAAGGGACATGGTTTGTACAAAAATATATAAGCTGAGTACCTTTTTTTTTGTAAAAGGATGAGGACTTTTTGTATACCGGAGCCCCTGTCAGCATCATAGTCCTTTATTCACTTTTCAAAAAGGTGGCAACCTTAGTATTTACCCATTAACAATATATAATCCTCCTTGTTTATTTATTGGTTAAATTTAATTTGTTCAATATTAGAGTGCAACAATTTCATCAGAAGCATAAGTTTTATTTTTATTTTTTGTAAATAATATAACTTTTTTTATTCGAAACCATAATAAATCCGTAAAATGTAATTCTTTAGGACAGTCGCCTAAGAAATAATGTAATAAATAATATAAATCAGTAATAAAGTATACCAAATACTCCAAAATAAGGCTTATAAAACGATTAGCTCGCTACCACAGATTTTATTTGGTAAAATTATTGAAAAATTGATGTTTTGGTCACTCTCGTCAGTCTGAAAACTGGTTTGACATACCCAACTGGGCGACCATTTCTGAAAGAGTAAGATCTCTGTAATTATTTGCACTAATTTTATCTCAAGCCAGTAGATACTGGCACCTCCTGAATGGAATTCGTTCAGAAATCCGGAGTATATGCCTCGTCCTTTTAAGTAACTTTTAACAAAATTATATGCAACGCCGCGAATGACATACAATTTAATAATTTTTAATGATCTACTACATAAAAGGCTTGAAATAAGTCTACAAAAATACATAAGGAAGGTAATTTTTTATCTAATGCGTTATGATTGAGCAAATTGCATCCTCAGTAAATTTTTCCTCTATAAAGCCATATTTATTATTAAATCTGTTGTTTTTTCAGAAAAAAACTAATAAACCTCTTTTTAAATATTTTTTCAAACATTTGAAGTTAGTATTATAGGCCGCTAATTACCTTTTTTGGTTTTCTTCTACTTTAAGTAAAGGTTTAATTAATCCTTTTTTTTTTTTCGTGATATCAGAAATAATTAAAATATCTATTAATTATGTAGGTGAAGGGGATACATTTTTTTAATTTCGTAGGGGACTTGGGGATTGTCTTCACATTTCTGAAAATTGCATAGTTAAGTTTTCGAATTTTTTTTAAAAAGAAGTAAAGCTGCAACCTTGATTTCACCTTTCTTTCTCATCTATTTTTAACCAACTTCAAAAAAGGAGGAGGTTCTCAATTCGCCGCAATATTTTTTTTTTTTTTATGTAGGTTCAGCGATAATTCTTTAACACGATGTCCGATTTCAAAAGGGGGGTACTTCAGGGGTGGTCCCATATAAATTTGGTCAAAATCTAATAATTGAGTCAATAAGAAAAAAGAAAATCCTCAAACTCTTCATTTTTTATGTATGTTTAGCAATAATGCTTTACCACTTTATCCGATTTATATGATTCTTTGTTTGTTAGTAAGGGGGTACCTCAGGGGTGGTTCCATTAAATTTGATTAAGATGTGGTGATGGCATCTGCACGTTTTTGAAGTCGGTTTTTTTTAATTTTTTAATTTCTAATACTTGTTAACATCTTTGTTTTGGTTAATATCAGAAACAAAAGGAATTTTCTATAATTAAAATTACTTACTTTATTATATTTAAAACTTTATAGTTTATTTTTAAAACTCTCACTCCAAAAAATATATTAATATTTATTCGCAACTAACAACTAACTGGTGATTCCAAAAATGTTAAGTGGGCACTCAAATATTTGTAAAACAGTCTTTAATAATAAATATGTATGAATTTTTATTAAAACCGGCGAAAGACAAAAATAAACTGACTCAGCTGTACCAATCCTTCCTCCGTACTTTCTACTTCTTTGTTCCACAATAAACCGTCACGTGCTTATGAATGTGATAAATGTCATGTAATTAATTTATTCATTTTCAGCAAGTTCAAGGCAGGTAATTGTGGGTGGGTCGTTGGTTTTATCGGCAGTTACATTCTTTCATTGTCAGGAAAAGAACTCGAATTCTGATTGATTTGTAGCGTTTAAGATTTTATGAATTATGGAGCAATTCTCTTGGTGTCACGGACTATTATTTGAAGAACAAATGGTAGGCGGAATGACTAATGCTAAAATAATGCCCGGATTATAATATTATGGTCTTATATTAATTGGTATGTCTGTAAATATCGGACAATAAGCTATATTAGTCATATTTTTAAATATTATACAGGAGGCCATTCGCATTGCTAGTCGTAAAGAATGCAACGCCACTGAGCATTAGGTTGTGTTTGTATTTATGATATGATCTTGTGGAAGCCTTTTCAACAGGTATTTTACACATAAAGCACGTTTTCACCACATTATTAGAGATAATAAATCTTAAATATACATTTACAACTTTTTCTACACCCATGGCAGTAAACGTTAAAACTCGCACTGTCAAAATTCCTTGTAAATAACATTTAACGATAATATGCACGTGCGTTTTAATAAGAAAACTTAAATTTCTTAGTTTAATCAAATTGCAATCAAATTTTTATCTACGTACCACTTTATTTGGTCTATTTACATAAATTTGGTCAACTGAAAAACAAAAAAACTTTTAGCATTAGCGAGATGCATTTTGGATTAAAAAAGTGATGCTCCTAAAAATGTCGGCAACACAAGATACAATTTTTCAAAAAATGAGTCGCCCTTTGTTAGCATGCTATGGAAATAAACGTCTTGTCATTTATATTATCAATTTTTGTAACAAAATATTCGTGCGTAAACTTTTTCACTTCATGCGTAATCGGTTACTTACAGCTCTTGTTCCTTAATATACTATTACGACGCTATAAATAATTATATTTTTCGTAAAATACCATCAAAAATTGATGTGTCAGAGAGTGTCAGAACTGTCTCTGTCAAACGTGGTTTTTCCCTTTGAAGAGTTGAAGAGAGTAGACATTGATTACAAAAAAGGAACAAGTTTAGTACCAAAAAATGTTTTAATATTTTTTGAAATTACTTTAGAAAAGTTGTTACCTAAAATTATAATTGTTTAGTTTTTGTTACCCCCTATTTGAATTCTACGATGTAAATTATATCTAATAGGTGATTTAGCTCAAATTGCTAGTACTGCGCGGATTCATAAATTGACCAGGATAAATAAAATCAGAACAGCTTGACTGGTTCGCGGACCAAGTCTACTTTACGATAAAATAAAAGATACAATAATAGGTACTATAACGACAAAAGAATATTGAGTAAAAACTATGGAAAACTACCTGATTTTACATTCCCTGTTTCACTGAGTCGGTCTCTGGTACCTCAAGTTATCTGTTACGAGTTCAGGCAAATAAAAAAAATTGAGAAAATTTAATACATTTAATGAAAAAAATACAATGAAAAGAATGCAATGTTTGTTAATGTTTGTTACACATTGAATTACTGATTAATGACTCGAATGACTAATACTTGAATACTAATAAAAATTGTTTTCTTTGTTTCGACCATGTGGCATTACACAGCGGTATTTCCATGTTAAATCGTCTCCTGGGTAGATAAAGTTTGTCCGATACTAACTGAGGTTAATTCCATATTATTTCGAGCTACGTAAAGCTACGTGGAAAATTGGAGCTTGCAAGCTACGTGGAAACTACTTCGAAGCTTCGTCGAAAATTACTTGGGAGCTCCATCGAAATTTACTTAGTAGCTTGGAGTTTTGAGAAACTACGTAACTTGGAGCTTGGAGTTAGGAGAAGCTACGTTACTTGGAGCTTGAAGCTACGTCGAAAATTACTTGAAAACTTGGAGCTTGTTTGGAGAAGCTACATAACCTGGAGCTTGGAGAACCTACGACGTAGCTTGGAGCTTGGAAGCTACGTACATTGGAGCTTGTTTGGAGAAGCTACATAACCTGGAGCTTGTTTGGAGAAGCTACGTTACTTGGAGCTTGGAGGAGCTACGTTACTGGGAGCTTGGAGCCACTGACAATTACCCCAATGTTAGCACATAAGTACATAAGAAAGACACATGATAAATATATGAATCTATTCATAATAACTACAAACTAGTAGATTTGTCGACACAACACTACCACATGGAGTGGCAAAAGGGACTCGTTAAAGCGACACCAACCAGTTTTATCTTAGCGTGAATGAAGAGGAAACGCTGGGCGCGTGCCCAAAACTTACTAATCTAAAGAAGCTAGCGATCTTTGTTTAATATTTTGTCAGGGGTTATGGAGAAGTTGTTAAAAATAATTTTGAAATAAATTTAAAATTTTAATTTTTTTTACGCTGATTGATATTTAATACAAATTTTCTATACTACAGTGACCTATATCCAAGTTTAGCAAAAAGTAAGTTCGTAACCATATTAAAAAAACATCCTGGTTCTAAGTGTGATAAAAATATGCTCGTGTGTAAATTTAATAGTTCATTATTGGTTTTTTAAGTAGTGTCCAAAACATATTTTTTTATTTGTAGGTCTAAAACCATATGATATTCAAAATTAGTAAATTCTTTTAGACGGGTTATTGTTAAAATACAAAAATTTTTTTTTTATTAAAAAACAATTTATTATCATGACTCCATTCAACTATATTATTAATATATTTTTGCAGTGAACACAGTCTCTTACTGTATGTATTTTCTTAAAAATGTTCAGATGATCTGCAAAAACTAGATATCCTGAATATTTTAACACGGCAGGCAGGTCGTTTATACACATGCGCGTCAGGATGGACAAGCGAGAGAAGGAAGACAGCGCAGTACAGCGTTGCCGTTTGGGTACAAATGTATCCAATTGTGTACATTTTCTCCCTCATGGTATACAAGTACATTTTAGGACAGATAATCTTTAATTGGGTACATTTTGGAATAATGAATTTCTTATGTTCAAACTTTATGAATATTTTGTCATATCGCAAAATAGTGTTTATGTTGTTAATAAATCGGAAGTATGTGAGTCAATTCAATGACTGTTAACGAAACCTTTCGTATACACTGGAATCGAAAACGCTTAAAGTTTAGATCCTGAATAAACAATACACGTACGACCAATATAACAGCTGTTTTATTAAATCAACAAACAGATGACTAGTCCAAACAAAGTTACGAATTCAAAAATTTTGTTCCAAACATTTTCCTCCATACCTTTTCGTTGTCGGGACTAGAGGCATGGCAGTCTCTGCATGAATTTTAGTAATCCTGCAATAACAGTCCCACCCACAAAGCACATAGAGGTTCCACGTGAATGACCAAGGTCAAAACCGACAACTGACATTTTTTATGCTATTTGCTCCAAACTCTAGATGGGGCTACTAGTAAAATTCTGATTTCTTACTCCATTTTTAAGCTTTATGGGAGAAAAACTTAACCAATGACTCCAAAGATGTGACGTGTATTTATTTATGTTTTTGGTTAATCTCATTTTTCCGTCTGATTTTAGTGATTTTTTGTTGGCTTTGGCTTTTGGTTTCTGTTTATAGTTTCGTCTTAGTTATTTGCAAAATTGTGATGTTATGCTTTTCTATTTGCTACTGTGTTTTGCAATAATTTTGGTGCTACCTGTGGGTGCTACGTTGAACACTTCGAGAAAAACTTCATTGATTCACCATGCATCTGCATCATAAAAAGACAAACGGGTATAACAACTAATTGATAATCAATTTATCACTGGACTAGATTCCGAAATCATTTTTCACATAAGAGAGTAATACACAAAGCAGTGGAGTAATACCACCATCTGTATTTGGAAGGAAAATACCTATTTATCATTGAATGAATAGTTAAAAGGATTCCCCTTTTAATACAATACCTACATTACATTTGTCCTCGGTTTAAAAGACATTTATAAAATATATTATTTTAGTGTTAATAAAATGTAATATCCTAGTCTCTACTTCACATTTAAATTATTGATAGGTATTTTAAAGATTTGAGAGTAAGTATTCCTTAAATATGTATTATTATTTGTATTTATTTTTATCTAATAATATTTATTTAAGTTATTAATAAACATATTTTAAGAATGTTCTATTTTATTATTTATTGATATATCTTATATTTATTTAATAATAATATGCAGAACCAACTCTCCACATCAGACCCCTGCTTATAACAAATTAATTCCTCAAATTTGGTATAATCGACCTAAATTATTTTGTAAAATAAAAGTTTCGAACTTACTAGTTCCATTCTTTATTTTATAAAATAATTTATGTGGAAATCATTTAAAATTTAATTTAAAACTACTACCTACTCCTAAAAATTACAATTTGAATTTACCGCCATCTGTCAATTGTCATTTTAGTTCCAGCTCCAAACACAAGGTGGCGCTAATTTGGTTTAAAAGTTTAACATTGGCATGGGGTCTCTAGAAGATACGTGCTTTGTGGTCCCACCCTAGGGCCAGCCTGAGACACCTGTTTTGAATTATTTGCAATTTGTTATAGTTGTGTTCAGCCATAGAACAGAAGACCGGACATTCATATGTTAGTATTGGCCTTATTATTTGTTTCTAGATGAGAATTTTGTTATTTCTACTAATTAGTGGATATACCATTTTGATGGCTGCCTTGGCTTTTGTTACCCTCTCATCTATGTGTCTAGTGAATGTCAATCCCATATCTAGTCAATTTAGACGTAAGGCAATGGTGAGATGTTTCCCATGTAATAAAAATAGACCCACTTTTGTGTAATTTTTTTTCCGTCAAGATATCTTATGTTTTGACTGCCTCACTTTACACATGATACTAAAATATAACATTTACAATACAGCTATTGTCCTGCTTTTTTTATCTGTAGTTTACGCAAAATTAAT